AATTTGGGTCAATTTGAGGTGAATTTTGGGAATTTCAGGGACATTTTTAGACAATTCGAGGCAATTTGGGGTCATTTGGGTCAATTTGGGGTCATTTGGGTCAATTTGAGGTGAATTTGGGACAATTTTGGGGCCATTTGGGGCATTTCTGGGCCGACCCCTGGTGGTTTTGGGGCGCTTTTTGGGGCGATTTTGGTGCAATTCAATTTGGGGTCATTTGGGTCAATTTGGGGTCATTTGGGGCAATTTGGGGTCATTTGGGTCAATTTGGGGTCATTTGGGTCAATTTGAGGTGAATTTGGGACAATTTTGGGGCCATTTGGGGCATTTCTGGGCCGACCCCTGGTGGTTTTGGGGCGCTTTTTGGGGCGATTTTGGTGCAATTTGGGGCCGATTTCTTCCGGTTCTCGCCGGATTTCTGCCGGATCTTCGCGGGTTTTCCCCGAAATTTTGGGGTCCCGGCCCTGACCCCCCGAATTTTGTCCCCCCAGGGCGACTCCGGGGGGCCCCTGATGTGCAACGGGCGCCTGCAGGGCATCACCTCGTGGGGGCCGGGGGTCTGCGGGGACCCCCAAAAACCGGGGGTCTACGTCAACCTGTGCCGCTACGGCCGCTGGCTGCAGGACACCATGGCCCAGAACTGACCCGAAAACGGCCGAATTCACCCCGAAAACGGCCGAATTCAGCCCGAAAACGGACGAGACCACCCCGAAACGCCCCGGAAATCCCCGAAATGCTCAAGATTAAAGAAATGATCCAGCCCCGAATGCTGGTGTGCGGGAGGGCAAAAAGCACCAAAAATCCAGCCCAAAATGCCAAAATTTCATCCCAAAAATCCCCAAAAATCACAAAATTTCATCCCAAAAAATCCCCAAAAATCTACCACAAAAATCCCCCAAAATCCAGCCCTAAATCCCAAAATTCCACCCCAAAAATCAACCCCCAAAGTCCCAAAAATCCACCAGAAAAATCCCCAAAAATCCACCAGAAAAATCCCAAAATTTCATCCCAAAAAAATCCCAAAAAATCCACCCCAAAATACCCCAAAATCCAGCCCCAAATCCCAAAATTCAACTCCAAAAATCCACCCTAAAATTCCAAAAACAAAATCCCCCCTAAAAATCCCAAATTATGGCCGCACCCCCAAATCCTGGCCCCGCCCCCAAATCCTACCCGCCCACCTGGCCACGCCCCCAATCCCAGCAAACCCACCCCAAAAATTCCTGGCCACGCCCCCAAAAATCCAGCCACGCCCCCCAAAACTTGGTCACGCCCCCAATGAACATCAGCCAATAACTGGCCACGCCCCCCCAATTGGCCACGCCCCCACATCCTGACCACGCCCAGTGACGCAATGACCCCTCCATGGCTGGACCTCTTGGCCAAGGGTTGACCCTTGACCTCTCCAAGGTTTGGCTTCTTGACCCCTCCATGTTTGACCTCTTGACCATCCATGGCTTGACCCAATGACCCAACCGTGGCTTGACCC